GCACACGCGCTATGACGTGCACTGCCCATCAGGGGGCAGATGCTCCAACGGGTAGGTTAGGTTGCTGCTGGGGCCCGGCCAATTGGGACTGAGTGAGATGGGCTGGACACGCCCTGGAGCCCTCCCATGGTCCCTCCCCAGTTGGCCAACCTCCTGTGTCTCTCCCTGCCCCTGATCGTACAGTGGGGGGATGGGAGGGTTGTCACTCGGCCTGGCGTGCACTGCCCATCAGGGGGCAGATGCTCCAACGGGTAGGTTAGGTTGCTGCTGGGGCCCGGCCAATTGGGACTGAGTGAGATGGGCTGGACACGCCCTGGAGCCCTCCCATGGTCCCTCCCCAGTTGGCCAACCTCCTGTGTCTCTCCCTGCCCCTGATCGTACAGTGGGGGGATGGGAGGGTTGTCACTCGGCCTGGCCTGCGCCCTGTCGCAATCCGGAACCCTTCAGGGGATGTCAGAGAGCCGGTTTCTGCCCGATCCCACAGGCCAGGCCGAGGGACCTCTACTGGTGCATGAATTCATGCACTGGGCCCCTAGTATTATCATAAAATTAATGAAAACATTTATAATTTTTAATCTCAAATCTCTAAGTATATCAAATTTATAAGTTAAATACAAGTAACCCTTTACCATAGCGTGTGAATCCCTAAAAATTTATAATTCAAACTCTTAAATATTAAGGTCTATGACATATATATTAGACATCTGCTATTTTATATATAGGCATATAACCGTATATAAACATTTACTGCCAGAAGCAAGTATGAGAAGGGGTGGGGGAATGACAAAGGAAAACATGCTTTTCTTCACTTCCCAAGCTGCGTAAGAATATGCCATCTCATTTTGTCTTAGAATTCAGACAGCAACAGACCCTTTTACCACCCACTCTTCCCACTGGAGGCCTGAGCTACTGCCGTTAAGGGCCATTTCCCCAACACAGGTTAACTGTGAAAAAGCAACAAGGAAGAGTGGTCAAGTTTCCCACTGCTGTAGGATTCCAAAATGATTCCTGCTCTAAGAAAATATTTTATGCAGAACTCTAATTTTCTGCCCTACTGCTGAGGGTGAGAATGTTAGGTGACTATAATAAAGCAAACTGTTTTCCATGTTCTATTCCACCTATTGTCTTCATTTCAAAAAAACTATGACTTGCTTGAGAAGCACCAAAAAATTTAAGGCTCTTAAGTCCTACTCTTATGAATAACTAGAACAAAACAGACCTTAATACAAACCCTTTGAATAGTTTAATAAGATAAAATTTTTCTTCAAAAGAGAGAATAAAGTAGATAACTTATCCTAGATTAGTTTATAGAGTTAATTCAAACTAATTAGAGAGCACAGATTTTCTGATTTGTAAGTGTATGCATACATAGACTACCCACAAATATGTACTGACTACCCACCAGGCACTACTAGGACAAATATGCACAATATATGGTCCTATCCTCAGGGAAGACAGAATATAAAAGAGGGGGACCTAGACCAAACACATAAAAAGTCAAATCACACAACATTTAAATAATAAAATAATACATGGGATTTTCCTCAAAATAATCCAGGAAGGTTTAAAGTAGGTAGGAACAAAAAAAGACACTAGTTGGTCCACAGATGGTTTTTTGCTGCAGCTAGTACATAATACTATTCTTTCCATTTCAATACATGTTTAAGTTTTTCTATAATAAAAGAGATTAGGCATGGTTAACACAAAATACAATATATGATTAACTGCCAAATAAATGATCTGGATAGTAATTGCATTAATTCCAAAAGAGACATCCCTGCAAATAAAATAATCACAAATAAGACACCGCACAAGGTGAGACTTAAACCTCAGTCAGACTGGGACTTTTCACTGACAAGCTACTGTGAATGCATCACTGTGGTGGACAGAAATTCAAGCATTACCCTGGAATATGGGCAGGACCTGTGATGTGCTTCTAACCAACAGATTATGACAAAGATGATGGGACATCACTTCTGTGATTGTGTTACATTATAGAAGACTCCATCTTGTTCTCTGACTCACTTATTCATGGAAGCAAGCTGCCATGCTATGAGGGCTTACATAGAGGGCCACATGACTAGTTCCTTGGAGCTGAGGGTGGCTTCCAACCCTCACTCCATCTTACAACAAATCAAAACACCCTTAGTGAGTTTAGAAACAGATCCATGGCCAGTCAAGACTCCAGATGAGAACTGAGCTCTGGTCAACACATGGGTTGAAGCCTTGCAGTGGGCACAGCTTACCCACAGAAGCTATCCTATATAATAAAAGGCTAATCTGCAAACTGTCCCCTCAGGAGCTTGACCAGGAGTTTTATTGCTCACTATGACATGCGCTGACCACCAGGGGGTGGCACGGAATGAAGGAAGGCCCCTGCCGGCAGCCGGAAGGACCCAATCGGCCCTGATCGCTGGCCAGGCCTAGGGACCCTACTTGTGCATGAATTTCATGCACCGGGCCTCTAGTTATGTAATAACTGTGTGTTGGCTTAAATTGCTAAATTTGTGACAATTTGTTCCATGGCACAGAAAATTACTACAACTTTCCCTTCTATTTTCAATTCAAAAGCTCCACATTTACCATGTTTTGTGTAGTGTTTGCCCCTTTAATTGTGCTATTATTACTTCTGTTGAGTTTAAATAAATATGAACTCTGGAACTATAGAACAGGGCAGAGAATCCATGTAACAGGAGATCAAATGTCCCAGTCTGCCTAGAGCAGCCGTGGGCAAACTATGGCCCGCGGGCCTGATCCGGCCCGTTTGAAATGAATAAAACTAAAAAAAAAAAAAAAAAAAAAAGACCGTACCCTTTTATGTAATGATGTTTACTTTAATTTTATATTAGTTCACACAAACACTCCGTCCATGCTTTTTTTCCGGCCCTCCGGTCCAGTTTAAGAACCCGTTGTGGCCCTTGAGTCAAAAAGTTTGCCCACCCCTAGCCTAGAGAGTGTGTGCCAGTTGTCATCATGACATAAGTAACAGCACATCTTTTCACTCCCAAAAAGCCCCAGTTAAGACAATAAATGATCATTCAGCCCTATATTCATTCACCTTCTACATATTAATCATTATCTTTCCAGACAAGATTATCTTATTCTTTTCATTTGCTCCAATTGCATTCATATCTCTAATCATTACAGTTAACATTTTGCTAAATTTTTCCCAGATTGGTGATTTCTATGGCAAAGATGTTCAGCATACAGATCAAAACACAATACTTACTGTGCAAACACACTTAATAGAGTTTGCCTTACCCTACCTCTGAATGGAGTGTTTTTAGTTCCTATAATATTACATTCCTACAACTATGAGAAGTTTCCTAGTTTATGCTACATACTTATATAAAATTATTTCAAAAATAGTCATTCATATAAACTGGTAATACCTGAAATTTCTTTAGAAATAGAGAGCTCTCTCTTATAGCAATTTCACATATGCAAGTCCCAATTAATTATTTTACGTAGGTAGGATAAAAATAAATGTAGGTAAAGTCACACTGGCTGGGTGGTTCAATTGGTTGGAGCATCCTTCCATACAATTGTGGGTTCAATTCCCAGTCAGGGCACATACCTAGGCTGTGGGTTTGATCTCTAGTCGGGGCACATACAGGAGGCAGCCAATTGATGTTTCTCTCTCTAAAATCAATAAAATCATATCCTGGGGTGAGGATTTTAAAAAATGTAGGTGAAGTCATATATATAAGTACTTGCCTATACTGATTCATGTATTTACAGGGTGGGGCAAAAGTAGGTCTACAGTTGTTCATATGCAAAATAATACAAGAATAATACAAGAATATACTGTTTTGAGTACTCACAACTGTAAACCTACTTTTGCTCCACCTTGTATTTTAAAAGCATTTTCTTCTATGTACTAGGTACTATGCTAAGGATATGGGATACAAAGTCAGCTTACTTCTACAGAAAAGGAAATTGAGGTTCTGCCTTTGTTGTTCAGACTACTTGCTGATTACCCTGTAATAAGGTAATACAAATTATTTTCCACTTGCAAATATATTACTAGTGTAGATACATTAAAAATCACAATATGCAATATAAAAGCTTTTTACAAAACCTATTTGAAGTTTCTCATCTAATACAATTCTAATCTCAAAAATTGAGTTCTTTTATGTTTTGTGTGGGGTATAATAGAGAAAAAGTAGAAAAATTCACGTACTGTCCCTTAAAATTAAAGATAGTGGGAGTGACTTGGAGGGAACATAATAGTGGCTTCAGAAGTGCTGATAATATTGTATCTTAATATTGGAGCTGGTTGCATAGGTGTATTTAGTCTAAAAATTCATTGAGGTTTTTACTTAATGTTAAGCAAATCAATATTTATATATATAAGAGCCTAAACGACCATTATGACTGAATAACCGGAACAACCAATGACCGGCTGGTAGCTATGACGCGCACTGACCCAGACCTTGCTTCTGGGGCCGTGACAGCTCCAAATCTGATTCACCCACACCCCGACCCAGGCAGGAGGACCCCACCCGTGCACGAATTTGTGCACCGGGCCTCTAGTTATGAAAATACAAAAAGTCCAAAGTTTAGAATATGAAATCTTAGATCTACATCAACAAGGACTATTAATCAAATAATTTTTAATGCTTATTATGTCCTTATAGGCCAAATAGGCTCAATAACAATAATAGGTACCATTTAAAAGTATCTATCATGGGCCAAATACTATACCAGGTACTCTACATACATGATCTATTTTAATTTCAAAACAACCCTTTTAGATATTATCCTAATTTGATAGATAACAAAATTAGCTATTTGAATCCTTAAAAGATTGAAAACTTAATTAATGCTATTCATTCTTCATATGTAAATAAAGTAATATCTAAATATAATAAACTCACTTTAAAAGATTTTAACTTGAGCCCTAGCCGGTTTTGCTCAGTGAGTAGAGCGTCAGTCTGTGGACTGGAGGGTCCCAGGTTCGATTCTGATCAAGGGCACATGCCCAGGGTTGCGAGCTCAATCCCCAGTAGGGGGTGTGCAGGAGGCTAAATTAAGGAAGAGAAAAGTATAATTCAAGACTACAAAGAGAAGGCTCTTAATCCCTAGAGAGGAGAAGTACATTTATCAGAAGTTTCCAGTCCCTGACTATCCTTGTCTTAAAGTGACACTACTATTGTGTTGGCCAGACCTTTCCCAGCCTTTTTCCCTCCCCTTTCCACTCACCCTGAAACTGTCCTAAATTCTGACTGGGGATTTTCACCTGTAGTAAGAAGAGAATGTATAGGCAAATCATGAGAGGTACTATGTTACTGAAACTCATTCTGCTGATATAGGGAATTCATACCTTGTGATTATGAGTTCAGTTAGCCATGAAAATAAATACAGGGTTCCCAGCAGACACCTAAAGAATTGAAGAAGGGAATTACCATTTACTGAACTGGATACCTGATGTGCACTATCTTATTTACTCCTATCAACAAACCTTAAAGCGGTATTTCTAGACAAGCAGCTGAGTATGACAGCTATAAATCAAGACTCTGAATCCAAATTTCAGGGACCTGGATCCCCACTCTTAACAGTTTCACTGCCATATGAATGGGGGGGGGGGGGGAATCCTTCAGCTATTTGTGCCTCAGTTTTCTTATCCATAAAAGATACCAACAGTTCCAACCTCACACTGCTGTGGAAACTGAGTGAGTTGGTATTGGTAAAGAGCTGAAAATAATGCCAGGCAGACAGTAAGTACTACCTAATATTTACACATTATTTTTGGCCCATATAATAGACAGAACTAACTCAAGAATTTAAAGTAATTTGCCCCCAGCTGTAACTAATATATGGCAGTGGGGAAACCTAAACACAGGTCTCTGGTCAAATGCAGAGTTCCCATTCTTAACTACACCTACCTTCCCCTTCCTCCCCAAACATGGGGGTCTCCTCAAATAACTATGAAAGTGTAAGGTATTTCCCAGTGAGTTTCCTTCTTGAAGAATGACAGGTGGCAAAAGATATGAAATTCTGAGCCACACTCTTCTCCATATGGCAACAGTAGCCCTATGAATGAACTATTTGCCATAATATTACTGAACTATAATAACCATCAGTGCTGAACCATTTGGCTAAGAAACTGAATTTATGGGAAAATGAATGATGAGCTCCAATCAACTAACATAAACTGGCTCCTACATAACTTCAATTTAATTACTATGTTGAACCAATTCATTTAGAATCTGCTCATCACTGTGAAATATCATGATCTTAGATTAGTTCCCCTACAGTACTTATCACTTTAAAGGGCTAGTTGTCCTAAGGTCCCTTTTAACTCCAAAACTCTATAAATCTGTAACATCAAACTTTTGTTATCAATAGAGAAAATGAGAAACAATGAAAATAAATTGGCCCTCAAGAGGTTACAGAATAAAAGGAGATAGGAGGGGGAAAAAATCTGTTGAGAACACTAGCATTAATAACTAATTCAATCACCCACAGAACAGTTAAAAGGGTATATACTACTAATGACCCAAATTTTGTCTTAAAAATGTTTGCCATATATTCTAAAGGCCAGGATAACGTACACAAACATGTTATCAATTACTAGTAACTAATGTATTATAGTTGACTTTTAGTATTTTTTACACATTTCTAACCATTTCAAACATGTATTCCTTTTATAACCAATAAACAATTAAATTTCTTATTAAGTACCCATGTAAGAAAAAAAAATTACATAGTTGTAAAAGGCTGGAGGGTAGAAGGTAGGGAGGGGATTGAGCAGGTACAAAGATGGGAAAGGGGGGAAAAAAATCAAGCAATTAGTTAACTACATCCACTACTGGAAAATGTTAGCCATTATTAGATTAATGCAAAATTAAGTATAAATTCCATCATTGTGGAGGTCTGATACTGACTTATAAATGAAGTAATACAAACTCGTTAAAAAGATAACTAAACTAACCAATTGCTACTCCCCTTTAAAAAATACAGTACCTTAGGTCCTTACCTTGTTTCTGAAAGGACTTAAGATGACAATATTTCTTTAACCTACCATCTGGTATGGGTTGAACTGTGCCCACCCCCTAAAAAAAGGATATATTGAAGTTATAACTCTCAGTAGCTCAGAATGTGACCTTATTTAGAAATAGGGTCTTCACAGAAATTATGAATTTAAAATGTGGATATTAAGGTGAGCCCTAATCTAATGAGTGGTGTCCTTATAAAAAGGGATAATTTAGACACAGACACAAAGGAGAGACAATGTGAAAAGATACAAGGAAAGATGGTCATCTACAAGCCAAGGAATCCCTATTAGAAGCTGGGAGAGAAGCCTAGAATAGATCTCTCTTTAGTACATTCAGAGAGGGCATAGTCCTGCCAACACCTTGAATTTGGACTTCTGGCCTCCAGAACTGTACGACAATAAATTTCCCTTGTTCTAAGCCACCTATTTGTAGTACTTGTTTCATAAGCCCTTAGGAAACTAATACACTATCCTATAAACTCTATGCAGCTGAACAGCCTCATGTTGACTGCCTTTTAAAAGACCTAGCAGTGAACAATTTTGTTTGTAGAATAAACCCACATATAACTTTTGACTCCCCAAAAACGTAACTACACTTGTCCTTCTGTGTCCACAGGAAATTGGTTCCAGGATCCACCCTGGATACCCAAATCCATGGATAGTCAAGTCCCTTATATAAAACTAGAGGCCCAGTGCACGATATTCATGCACTCAGGGACGGGGGAGGAGGCCCCGCAGCCCGGGAGCCCTCGGGGGATATCCAACTGATGGCTTAGGCACACTCCCCATAGTTGGACATCCTTAGTGCTTAGCGCTGCCGTAGAGGTGGGAGAGGCTCCTGCCACCGCCGCTGCACTTGCCGCCGTGAGCCCGGCTTCTGGCTGAGCAGCGCTCCCCTTGTGGGAGTGCACTGACCACCAGGGGAAAGCTTCTGCGTTGAGCATTTGCCCCCTGGTGGTCAGTGCGCATCATAGCTACCAGTCAGTCAGTCAACCGGTAGGCTGGTCGCTTAGACTTCTATATATATAGATGGCACAGAACAACGCATATAGTCAGCCTCCACATCCTCAGATTCCCAACCACGGACTTAGAATACTGGTTTTAATCCACAGTTGGTAGAATTCAGAGATGTGAAACCTAGAAATAGGGAGGGCTGCCTAGGTAGTTATTGAAAAAAATGTGCATGTAAGTAAGTGAAGCGGCACAGTTCAAACCAGTGTTGTTCAAGGGTGAACTGTACAGCACAACTACTAATCTGCAGGCACAATATACTAGTATAACTTATGTAAGGAATTTGTACTGTTATTTCATTTTAGTTTGCTTCCAATTTTCTTATGAATGTCTTCTATGAAAATGTTTGTAATATTTAACTATAATAATATATTCTCAGTTAAGACATAACAAATCTAAATTAATGTAATCATTCTAACGTATAAAGTTGATATATTATGCTATAACTGAAATGTCAAAACAAAAATACTTCGAACTAAAAGGTATAGGTTTAACATAAGCTAGAATTTAATATATGTGATGAGAACAAAGAGACCCACAGACACATGATAATAAAAATGCTGAATATCAAAAACAAATAGAAAACCTTGAAGCACAAGAAAGAAAGGGTAAGTCACTTATAAGGGACCACCAATAACTGACTTCTCAGCAGAAACAATGCAGTTAAAGGAAGTGGGGTAACATAATCAAAGTACTCACAGAAAAAAAAACTGTCAACCAAGAATACTAAATCCATGAAAGCTTTCAAACTAAATGTGAAATAAATAAAATAAAACACCTGACAATTTTTTGCTAGCAGACACATAAGAAATACTAAAGGAGGTTATTCAGGCTGAAAGCAGGTGATCTCAGCAGTAATTCAAGTCCATCTGAACAACAACTAAAAGAGAACCTGTAATGACAATTATTTCCCTAAAAAGAACACTATCAGTACTTTTTCCCCTTCTTTCCTCTCTTTAAAAAGAAACTGTGTAACATTATATGTGTGTATATAAGGTATTACTCAGCCTATAATATATGTATATATATATAAAAATGTAATTTATATGTAACATATTTACCGATAACAACACATGAGATGATTGAGAACAAAGCTGTATTGGGCTTAGGAAACAGAGATGGTAAATTACTAATTACAACAATGTATTGCTTGTTTTCTAACATTAGCAAGTGTAATATGAATAAAAATGCCACAAAAGGGGGGGGGGCTTATAGTATTCAAACCTCAAGTTCACTTTTATAGTCTTCAATATAAATGATAGTTTAGATAAAATGGACATATATTCGTGTAAATATATAAAGTGACAGCATATAACTATTGCGTTGTTTCAAATAAAATAATTTCTGTAAAATCTAGTAACAATAAACTACTACAAAAATGAAAATGGCAAGAGTGAATAACTCACCTGTGTAAGAGCAAAAAGTTGTATTACAATCTGTTAATCGGTACAGCAGAGTTACAATTCTTATGTTTGAGGATTCAACAGACAACCTTTCCCTTTCTAGAGACAATCCTTGCAAAGCTCATATACCCACTTTTCTGATATTTGAATGCCATGAATTTAAGTCTCATCTCCCCAGTAAGACCAAATCTTCTTTAAGAAACTGCTCTTGTGCTCTGGCCAGTATGGCTCAGTTGTGAGGACTGTCCCATGCACTCACTGGTTGGAGCACAGGGGCAGAAGTCAGTCAATGGATGTTTCTCTCTTGCAACCCTCTCCCTCCCTCTTTCTCTAAAATCAATAAAAACATATTTTTAAAAAGAAACTGCTCTTGTGCCCAATTCACCTAGCACAGTACTGAATAGATTTACTGGTTCTCCTCTTTAGCATGTCTCTTCTTAATCTTCCCTATTCTCTTGATTTTCATCTAAACTCATAAGCAAAATGTGAAAAATA